AAAAAAAACCTACTTATAACAAAATTTTTTTTGTAAATATATTTTTATATATATGTAAATATATATACTAGCTTTGGAACCCACCTTTTGCAATTAGCTAAAAAAATCATCCCAATCAACTAAGAGCTTTAAAACCAAGTGTTTTAACGAGGTTCCCAATCAAAATTCGAGGCAAATCGGACAAGGGTCTCATGTTTTATGACCAGAAATCCACAAAAATAAACAGACACCCACAGACAAAAAGATTCCACCTTATTTAAATAGATGTATTAAATGAGAACAAATACAGGGTGTCCCAAGAAACATGACACTTGGTAAATAGCTTAGAATGTCTTCTTCCATAATTAGATAAGTTGTTTGATACCAAATACAATAATAAAAATATTTTATGGGAGTCATGTTACAGTAACATTGATTTCAAAGTAAAATATATTTAAACAAAAGATTTTTCGTAACGAAATAAACTGCAAAAAGCCTTTAATATCTTATACAGTATAGGGAAGACGACGTTCATAACTATTTACCAGCTGTCATGTTTCGTGGGACACCCTGTATATAAGTAGATAAGTACACATAAAATTAGAAAAGAACATAAAGTTCTGAACTTAAAAGATAATGTGTAATTTTGACAATAATGAAAAAGAATCTAATTTATTATGATAAATATTTTCTCTTTGGTATCAAGGTCATTGAGGGTTATTGTTTAAATTACAACCAATCGAAATATTAATGATGCTCCATTTGTATTATAATTTCTCCGGGGGGAAGGTTATTAAAAACCATTTTAATTTTAAAGAAAAAAATCTAAGTTATGTTGTTGTCTGGTCGTGGAACAGCCCGAATCAAGGTTATTAAAACCATGATTTTGTATCTTGTCATGACTGGGATTTTGCTCGGTGTTTATGTTCTATACAAGACTAAACCAAAAACAAACTGATAATTACAAATTATATAAGTTCACTATCATAATTTTTCTTTAAATCTTTCCAATCCAATTAATTTTTATATATTTATACTCGACTTCTTATCAGCTGGAATTGTTTCATTTGATGAAATAACAATTATTCTAAGTAAATGCGCTGAGCTCTGATATACATTCCTCATATTTACAAAACCTACAGGTTTACACTGTAAATACGATTTTAAACTCTTACTCTATATATGACGCATTGGCCAGGAGTTGATAAAGTCTTCTGCTATAAATGTGGCTTATTTAATGGCTTATTTATTGACTGTCAAAGAATGTAACAAGTTTACCATAGCAGTGAATCATAAATATCAGGTAACAAACAGTATAAATTCCGCACAGTCGTCTCTGAAGTCTAATTCATTGTGGGTAGCCCTGTATCATCAAACATTAGGGAAAAAAAGGTGGTTTTCAATAAAATTAAAGAGGCATCAAATTTGCGTCATTTACCATTTACTGACCAGTGACCAATGCAAAACCCTCAAGCTAACATTCATCAGCTACATAATAAGGAATTGGTAAATATATTCAAAACTATAATTATCAACGCTATTGTTTAAAATATCAATAGAGTCATAATGAATAGAGAATGTAGGTGTACTTGAGTACATGCGGAATCAGGTAGATGTAGATTTTAAAAACATTTCTCATACAAGAGGTGCTAGCATCTCCTTGTTTACATCTAGTTTGAGTTGTTCAAGCTTGAACCCTGTAAAAGAGAGCTAGCAGAATCCTGTTTTCTTTCAGCTTTCTACAGACTCAGTGACCTATACTGTGGAATATTAATTAAAAACAAATAGATTATCAAGTACAATAGCTAGGTGGCAACAGAGAATAGAACCATTTATATACGACGTCACAAGTGTCAAATATAACAAGGAAAACAATATTTTCTCACATTAGGTGACATGTTTTCAAAGATTAAGTAAAAAAGAGAAAAAACAGAAAATAAAGAGCACATGAATTAAACTTATTTTTCTGTAAGATAAACTCTTATATCTAAAATTATCACTAATATTAAGTTGATACAGCTGTACTGAGAGTGTACAAATTTTACGTTGCCATCTATTGTACTTGACAATCTATTTGATTAAAACTTACACGTAGCAGTATTGTTATTCGCCAAGAGGAGTGGGTTCCAGCTAGCCCAGACAGGAAATGAACTCTATATATCTCTATTAAAATATCTAAAGAAAAGGAATACATAGATAACTCTAGTCATGGTTTTTATAATTCATCTCTGTTAGATTTGGTGAATATATAGATCAATAATATGATCTTCTATTTTTATTAATCCCAAGATTAAATTAATCTTTAGCTTGTACCCTGAAAAGTGTATAAAATTTAATCTATTGAGAAGTATATGCAGATACCCGAACAGCTAATCAGAAGCCGGGAAATTTGAAACTTTACGCACCATTTAAATAGAGAACTCTTATTAGTCCGAATCTTATAATGATCCAAAAAGAGCGAAAACTACTGGATTAAGCAGGATATAAAAAAGATAATCAGAGCAATCGGGATTAAGGGCTATATCCAATTAATTATACAGTTCCCAGCTCAGAAAAAAATACAGTTATTTGACTAAGTCAAATGAAATGTTTTAAATATCATATTGCAATTGGTATTTTTATTGTTTCAATAATGTTTATCCAACAATTTTTTTGTTCATACCATGCAGGCATAACTTGATTGGGGGATTAACCAATAATCCTCATATTTAAAATATTGGATATCAAGATCAAGCCTTCATTATGTAAGATTCTTTACACAAAAGTTTCAACCTCTGGTACCAAATATATTTATAGCGAATTCTTAAGATTTAGGCTCTGTAATCATTAAACTATTGAATCAATATTGATATCTTATTTCTTATTTCTCTATGTCTGTGCAAAGCAAATAAATTCCTGCAGATCTCCTTTTTCTATCTATTTGTCTGTGCAATAAACTGAATTTATGCAGATCTATGTCTCTGTAAAGCAACTACCTTTCTGCAAATCTCTTTTTTCCATCTCTATGTCTCTGTAAAGCAACCAAATTCCTGCAGATCTCTTTTTCCATCTCTATGTCTGTGCAAAGCAACTAAATTCCTGCTGATCTCTTTTTCCATCTCCATGTCTCTGTAAAGCAACTACCTTACTGCAGATCTCTTTTTTCCATCTCTATGTCTCTGTAAAGCAAAAAAATTCCTGCAAATCTATTTTTCCATCTCTATGTCTGTGCAAAGCAATTAAATTCCAATATTGCTCTATTTAGGAGTTAAGAACAATCGAAATTTTTGTGGTTTTGGACAATCTTAGATAAATAGATAGAGTTTGATATTAGTTTACACACAGCTATTCAATGTATAGATAGATAGATAGAATTGTTTAAAGATAGATAGAGGTTTAGATTTATTTGGTCAAATTTTCTCACAATTCAAGGTAAAGTAAATTCAATGATGTAGGGTACAATGTACTGTCGTTTTATCATTAAGTTTATCGCTTTATAAACATAGTGATTGTAAGCGTATACTTTACGCAGATTTAGCACACGTCAAAATATATAAGTAAATGCAATAAACTTTATAATTTTATGTTTGGTTCAAACCACAAAAAGTAGACGTATTCAGAAAAGCCGTTAGTTCTCTTTAATTTTTTCTTTGTCCACGATTTGGTGAATTAAGTAAAATGTATTATAATCATGAACGGATATAATTTATCTAAGATAATGATGGCTTACATATGTTAATATGGACTTTGCTGAAGAGATTGTGAGCATAACTCTGAAGTACCTTTCATACAGAGATATCAATGCCCGATTTTAAAGGGTTCTCTTGAAACTTTTATTCAAAGTTTAAAAGCGTTTTATTAAAAAAATCCTGTGTGTTTTCTGCAGTAGAAAATGCGTAAAATCATCATTATTAATATTAAAGTCATTCAATGGATCAGAAAAAACTTTTAACGTGTTTGTATCAGTAAGACGTGTGTTATAAATATGTCTGAAGTTTGCACCGGTTTGACGTTTGCACTGATCCGTCGTCGACTGAACTGGTTCATCGTCTGAACTGGTTCGACGTTTGTACTGTACTACTCTGGCATTTGCACTGATTTGACAATTGTACTGATCCGACATAAGTATAGGTCTGACGTGGTTTACTTCTGACGTTTGTGCAGGTCTTACATTTGTACTGCTGACGTTTGCATTAGTCCGACGTGTTGAACATCAGACGTTTGCACTGGTCCGATGATTGAAGTGGTCTGATGTTTGTACTTGTCTAATGTTGTAAGATCGATTTGTGTTATGTCTAATGTTTTTATTGTCCGACATTTTTGGGATCGACGTTTGTTAAATTGACCTTTGTAGGAACGACGTTTGTGGGAACGATGTTTGCAAGAATTAAAGTTTGTGGGATCGGAGTTTTTTAAATCGACCTTTGTAGTAAAGTTGTTTGTGGGATCGACGTTTGTGGGAATCGATGTTTCTGGACGTTTGAGGGAATCGACGTTTGTGGGATCGACTTTTATGGAATCGACGTTTGTTGGATCGACGTTTGTGGGATCGACGTTTGTGGGATAGACATGTGTAGCTTTTTACCATGAGCCGGTCAACTTTCAAACATTCTGGAATGTTTATCTATCTATCTTTGTTTACATCTGCTTTTTATAAACTTCCCTTTATATCTATCTATCTTTCCAGCTTTCTGTTTACAACTTCATCTTAAATCTATTTCAACATCTGCAAATTTACTTTCCTTTGTTTAACTTCAGTTTGAGTAAAAATTTCAAAGTGAAAATATCAAAATATTCATTTCTCTTAAACTATATAATAAAGCTTTTTCACTCATATATATATATTTAGCTTAGCATACATAGCTGGCCAAAGGGCTTATATTTAAAGCCGGGGGATGTTTAACAAAGGCTAGAAAATTATATTTTTTTCAGATGTAAATGTTTTTTCAATATTTTTTCTTCATTTTTTTTGAAAATTCCACGGGCAACACCGGGCACTTCAGCTAGTTAATCATGAAAAATAAATAATTTGATCTTTTGACCTAGCAGTTTATTTATTTTTCTGTTTCAGAATCACTTAAGTTAATAAAATGTCTGCAAATAAATCTATTGCTAGTGGAATAAGGAATATTATGAACTGAATTTGTTTATTCTTCTACTCGCTACACCCTATATAATACTCGCTATAACTACATTCTTCTCCGAAACCAAAATATTGGGGGGGAGGGTATTTTTGTAAAATAGTAATGCTTACAAACGACGTTACATAAAGTTTTGAAAAACTCTAAACTCTGTTTTTTTTGTTGCGAAATTCAAAACTAAAAAACTCAGTTACATATTTTGCTATACTTATTTAACATATTTAGCAATAAATTGCGCAATATATGATAATTTTACAAAGAATTGGTGAATTTAAAAATTATGTTACTTGAATTATGAAAATTTGAAGCTGTCATTTGAAGATAGAAAGAGATTGTTTCCCTAAAATTCTTATAATATTAAAGTATAATAATATATAATATATATATTAATAGCTAAATATTTGGAATGAAACCAAAAAAGATGTTCCTGAGGCCCGTAAACTGTTAGTGATTATATCTGGTGGGGTTTTTGCTAAAACTGATTGTAATTGTAACTTCGTATGCCCAATTCTCAATGGTACCCTTTAAAGCTTTGTAATTTCAAGAATGAAAATAACTTTGTAAACTACAGGAACATGTAAGAAATTATTAAAAAAACGACAATATCATCTACATTTTCAGGCAGATACATGTTTCAATATTACCATTGTGAATCGGACGTGTGGGTGTAGGGTCACTTGATATTAAAGTCCTTTCAATAAAGCTAACGACTATACAATAACGGCTATACAGGGTGTCCCACGAGGCATGACAGTTGGTAAATAGTTTTGAATATCGTCTTCCATATACTGTATTAGATATTAAAGGCTGTTTGCAGTTTATTTTGTTTAAAAATCGTTTGCTCAAATATATTTTACTTTGAGGTTAATTTTACTATAATATGACTCCTATATATTATATTTATTACTATCTTTGGTATTAAACAGCTTAAAAAATTATGGAAGACGACATTCGTAACTATTTACAAACTGTCATGTTTCGTGGGACACCCTGTATGTTGTTAATATTTTTCGTTCTTATTCTGATCTTAAATGCAAAAGGTATTGTATCGTGTGTAAATATTCAAATAGATGAACCAGACTATCGATAAATTGTGTAAGAATGTTTTGATTAGAAACTTAATTAATAATTTTCATAATTTTACAAATTATTCATTTTAAAAGTTTGTCAGATTAAATAATTTTCAATTTTATTGGCTTAAAGGGGACTGTGCATACCTTTAAGAGACCGTTCATTGACAGATGTCATTTCCTGATTCACAACGGTATCCTTAAACATTAACTGGTCAATATTGTGGAAGGTATTGTCGTCGTTCTTGGTTTAAAGATATGTTTAATTCTGATAAGGTCTCTGCTTTTTCCAGCAGTTAACAACAATCGCAAACAATCACTGAATCATTCATTGCCATGCTTGTGCATTGAGGCCGGAGGGTTACTTAACATTACGCTTACAGTCCCTTTAACCCTATTCAGGCTGATGTCTAACTTATCGAAAATAATCTGGGGGACCCCCCCCCCACGATATCCTTTTTGTGATACAAATCTAAAATATTTGATACATGTTTGGCAAGCCCTTGAGCTTTACTTCAATAATCTTCAAAAATAATTTACAAATTTGCAAATTTGCAAATATTTGTTGCAAAATTAGGTTATTTAGCAAAAAATGATGGAAAGTGCGCGAACTATGATAAATTATACATCTTCGAAAAGCCCCTGATCCAGCAAATTTAAATATGCAGAAATATTGTCAACATTTTGAAAAACTGTACTCAAGGAAAACTAAAAATACGCCAATTCCCTTTATAGCCGTTTGTGCAAAAATCTATGCAATATCTTTTCACAAGCTGTCCCTTTAAATCCAGTTAAAACAAAATTTTTGAAAACTATTCAAATATTTCGGATTGAAGTTGTATGGCGCAACTAGGTGCAACAATGGCCGGAGAAGTAGCGGGGGTTGAAATAGAATTGGACAAACACACAAACCAGCAGACAGACAGTGAGAGGTCAGACATAATTAATTTCAATTAATTCTCCATGTAAAGATGACAATGACTGATTCACAACGATACATTTAAAAACTTTATCTGATTACTTATGTGGAAGAAATGAAAGATCACTTTCTCTATCAGTTATATATTCTTTAATCAGCTGCACCTTTCATGGCATTGCACAGAAAAGTATATGGAATTGGAAAACGACTTTCAGACTCAAATTTTTATTTAAAAAGTATAATAATGAGACTCAGAACAGATGTGAACAGACCCGTTTCACTTACTAAGTGATTTAATAAACTAGTAAAACTTTTTGCTTCGCATTCACATCCACCACAATTAATCGTCATTAATTATTGCTGTAATGTCGTCTTCCTATTCTACAGTTTGCTGGTTCTGATTGTAAGTGCCCCTTTATTGTGTAAGAAATTGTCTAATAAAATGTTTAAAAAAATAAAATGAATTTTTAAGAATAAAATTTAAAAATTTTAAAAACTAAAAATCTGGACAATTAAAATCTGAAATTATGATTATAAAATGAAACATAGTTTTGTGAACCAAACAAAAGGATATAGGCTCGAAATGGAGATAAATAGGAGCTAAAGCAATGCAACTCGAAGCAGGAGGTAGGAGAATAATAGTAAGAACGGGATATATATTCTCCAAGGTAAAGGCGCTTCTCAAGAATTAACCTTTTTTTAATGAAAATATCAGAAAATCTGCAGAAAATATTTGTGAATAATCAGAGATTATAGAAACTAATAATGGAAAAAGATTACTTATTTTTGAGATTAATTTTTATTTTCTCAATCTGAACAACTAATTAGTTTACAGTAGAATTTTGTTTACATTTTTTGTCTTCGTTATTTATAATTTAAAGAAAACAATTCTGAAAAGGTATCCAACCAAAAGTACGATTTTGAACGTCGACTTTGCGCTCAAACTCAGGATTTACTGCAGATCTTTATATGTCTCAAATGAATCTTAAAGAATTTGTCCACAACACTGTATACTCAGTTCAACTATCTTTGTGAACCAAACAAAAGGATATAGGCTCGAAATGGAGATAAATAGGAGCTAAAGCAATGCAACTCGAAGCAGGAGGTAGGAGAATAATAGTAAGAACGGGATATATATTCTCCAAGGTAAAGGCGCTTCTCAAGAATTACAAACTCTAGGCGGAGTCCCACACATATACGTAGACGATAACTTCTGGTGAAAATATATTTCAGTAACGAGGTTTCCTACAAAATACAAATTGTTATTGACGAATAAATGTGAACAATAATTGTTAATAAAGTAACAATTTGATTACAACTAATTAAATGTTTATTGAAACTGATAAATAGGAATTTTAAAAGGAAAGGTGCTGTTGTGAATCGACCAAGAAATATTTTAAGGTACTGATGGGAATTAATAAATGAAATGTTTTAAATGGGTACTGTTGTGAATCAAACATAAACTTACGATCTATTGTCGTATAGTGCGGGAATAGTAGTTGGAACCGGAGTATAAACAATTTAACTTCTGAAAAAAAATATTCATTTGGTAGAAAATTAATTCACTATTAGTTTGCAAATGATTCACTGAATTTTAAGCTTAAATTGTTTCTATTTCGACGAATTTAAATCTTATTGTTGCACGAGGATTTTGTTTACGTTTATGCAGAAACCTTGAACAGTATTTGGTTTGGAGAAGAAAGTGGACGGAGGTCTGACGGAGATGTAGTTTGTCAAAGACGACTTTTACAACAGGGTAGTTTATGGGATATGGTTCACAAGTTTGTGTTAAATTGTCTTCCTAAATTATTTTATAGTTTGGCGCGTGCGGTTCAATTAAAAAACAAAAATTAACTAAGTTAGAGTTTTGGCATCGTTATTTTGGCATCTTATTGTGAATGTAATTTCAAGTGACCCTCCATGCAAAAATGTCAATGCCCCAGCCCAATTCACAATGGTACCCTTGAAATATTAATCTGATCAATATTGCGGTAAAAAACGTTGTTTTTCTCATAAAAAAGTGTTTATTTTTGATCATTTCTTTATTGGTTCTTATAAGAAAAAAATGTGCAAGTCCTTTTTGAAGAGAAACCACAAAAAACATGGATAATATATTATTTTTCTTTCAGTTTTGAATGGAATGATTCAGAAGAGGAGCGTTATAGAGACTGGATTAGGCATATATGATATTAAAATATACATTTTATGAAATCCAGGAACCTATTGTAAAAAATGTACAAGTTCAAATTTTTTTCAGGCAGTATTAATCTTCAAAATATTTCTGCAAGGCCTGACACGCCAAGGTGTGAGATCCTGAAACCTATTGACTATTAACTATTTAGATATCTGCACGGGGTGTTTTTTGATAAAGTGCCTTTTACATTTCGTTAAAAGATATTTGAATAATTCAACAACAAAAAGATTGATATTCGTCCAGCATTTATTTAAATCTTCTTCACTATAGATGTGTACTTTTTATCAATCACTTGAAGTTAGTTCAAATCAAATAACATTTTGAAATGCTTTTAATTTTTGAGTGGCAATCAAGTAAAATATGGCAAATTGTTAACTGTTAAAGTGTGAACTGGTAAACTGTAAAACTGTCAACCGGCAAATTGACAACTGAAAAATTGTCAACTGACAAATTGTCAACTGGCAAATTGTTAACTGGCAAAATTGTCAACGGGAAATTTCTTCAACTGGCAAATTGTCAACTGGCAAAAAAAATGAACTGGCAAATTGGATAACTGGCAAATTGGTCACCTGGTTGTCTCATGTCGATACGATAGTATTTTACGTATTAATAAAATACAATTATGATTTAATCTAAAAAATATATTGCAATTTAAACATTTAAAACCCAGTTACCAAGTAAGCACTATGTGAAGAATTTAAAACTTGTTTTTGTCAATAAACTTAAAATTCATTTAATGGCATTTTGTGTTTTTACAACTTTGCAAAATGAAGTTTATATTTTGTATTTGCTGAAACTTTAAGAGTTTATTGCAAAAACACGCAAAAACTTATTTTTAGCTTAAGTCAGCGAAGATAATAATGCTTGCTAAGAATCCATATTTTGTTGCCTTTTTACTAGGATATCTCCAAAAGACGGGGTGTTAAGAATAATTCACTGAAAAAAAAATCAGTTAAATATAAGCTTTTACAGTAAAATGAAGTATAAATGCATTCCACTGTGTGAAGTTTTCGTGAAAAAAAATTAGCGCATTTTCATTAAATATGTAATAGAAGATTTTAATGACAACTATATTACCCTAAATTGCGGTCTCTAAAATCTGTAATTTAACGTTTAAAAATTTATTATCATTGAAAGGGAACAGGTCCAGGAAAAAGCTCCTGCCGAATTTGAAGGTTAGTTTCATTTCATGTGCATACAAGAGATGTTTTCATTCTAAACCGACTATTTCATTGAAAGTTGAGATAGTTTTTATTCGGTTCAATTTGGTCTCGATGGACTTTTGGAATCTTTCCTGAAACCTCAATAACAATTTGAGTCTAACTTATTTTTAAGATGAATTCTTGCTTATTCCTATCACGAATTGAGGGGGTGTGAATGACCAATTAGATATTTTCAAATGCGAATTAGATCAAATAATCTAAGTTTGAAATATCAAGTTGCAAAGATTTAGGAATTAGAATATTTGAATTTGTAACAAAGACTCAAATTCCTTTAATAAAACTGATTTTCATGACATTTTCTCCATTCGTAGAATTTATGGGAGAACAGCTGGTCAGACAAAGGTTTCGAGAACAAACTGAACAAAATGCCGATAATCAGGTCATTTTTTTAAATTCATATATTCGTTGCGCTTGCTTCTATCCAGTGATCATCGAAATAAAGTGAATTGAAATCACGTCTTTGTTTAACTGTATAAGTACATCGCGCACCGGATTTCGAAATTTGTATTTGTTTTAGAGCACATGAATATATTCTGATATATCTTTATCATAATTTAAATTAGATTATGGAGGTCGTAGCGTCGGTCTCCAAATAACACAAGGAGTCTAACTTCAGAATATATTTGATTCTAAGAAATAACAAGTCTATTCGTATCGGTATCAAATCACATGAATCAACTAGAGTCTATGCAGCGTAGAATTCTTCCAGCTCTTTCCTTTGTTCCTGGCTCTGTTGTAAGGAGGCCGCTGGGACTCGTCTTCCACAAGATATCAATATGTTTTAATTTATGAAAACTGATTATTATCTTCTGTGGTTTCTCTACAAAGTAATTAGAATCAGAATTTGCAGATTGAATTAATATCTAATACTTTTTAAGATAAAAAAATGTAAAGTTTACTATCGTAATTCGACTATACTCGTTTTTCAAGTGAATAAGTTAATAATAGCCAAAAATATCAGTTACTTAAACAGTTTCCGTTTTCTATTGTATCTACCTTTTTCAACTTAATATTAATTTGATGATATTTTAACAGAAATGTTTTACCCTTCTGTTTTCTTAAAATTTTACTGATTTCTTAATAGTATAAGATAATTTGGCTTTAGGGCCGCCCCCTTTCCTATTAGAAATATGACCTATGAACTCTAAAATCGTCATTATATTTTCGCGGATTTTTCTGTTTTACTTATCGAATTTTCATAAATAATAAATTATATTTGAAGATAAACTGGGAAGACGAGAGGGAGCAAGCATATAGAGCAAAGTATATTCAGGAAAATTAATGCATATATTTAGAACAAAGAATTATGTAAAAACAGGTTGAGTCAAAACAACTTTTGCTTTTGAGAAGAACACATTTTTGAACAAGAAGACACTAATCGCTTTTTTTAACTAACCCTGTATGTTATTATTCAATGCATTATTCAATGCATATTATTTTTCAACATTTGTAAAGCTTTAATATCTTTATATTTATTTTCAATATATATTTACAATTTATTCATGAATGTATTTATCTATAATTTAGACATGATTAAATTTTTCAAAATTTTGGGCATTTTTAAAATCTATTTTACATTTTACACATCCGATTGATTGATATGAAATAGAGTTAAGTTGTACACAAATTAAGAAAGACAAAACAGTTAAAAGTTTTACATTTTGGCTTGTTTGAATTTATACTTGTGAATTTTACCGTATTATTGAATTTGACTAGGGTCTGAAAAAATGCAAATATTCTAAACAACTCTGAAAAATGCGCAGCTATTTTCTAAATAAACGTTTTTTCTATTTTTTAAATGGTGTTTGTGCGCAAATTTCAATATTATCAAGTCAATAATCAAATTTTGTCTATCATCTAGGGTCATATCTTTTATTTTAAATAATCTATGCTTATTCTAATCTAATTGAAATTCAATTTGTATGCAATAACAAGTTTTCTTTTCCTTACCACAATGTCAATGTCAATTTTAAACTGTTCTTCATTTTTTGTGCTACACACAATTTGAATCAACATAAGTGGTACGCAAATATTGTTTTGTTTTTCTTGGGACACACTTTTTAAATTTTTATCAGGGGCGTACAAAGTATTTTGTTCACGGTGGCTTGATTTTTTTCTTTTCCAAAGAGGAGGGATGCTTAGCACTGAAACCCCCCTGGAAACCATATATCACTGATCCAACCCCCCCCCCCTCTGAATCTGTATATATACACATATTCGAATATGAATATATAAATATATATGAAATATAAATATTAAAGATTAGAGGTAGTAGAGATGAGATAAATTGGAATACAGATACAGGAGAAAGGAAGGCGCAGGAGAGAAGCAGGTTAATAGTTTTTCTATTCTATTTTAGGTTAAATATTTGATTACATTTTTAAAAGCAAATGCGATTTTTTTTATTACTGAACATTTTAGTGCACAATTTTGTACGTAAAAACATAAAAAAAAATCTCTCCTTTTGTAGACACCTTTTTAGAATTTTGAAATTATTTTATTTTTTTCCTTTAAAATTCAACAGCATTAATTTCAATTTGAAATACACAAAGAAAATACTTACATTTTTAAACTTGCAAGAAACCACAAATAAACACACTTACCTAAAATTATGCTTACATTCTATTTAAATTATTTTTTTCTCGTGTTTTCCATTAAACAATATTCCAACTAAGGATGCTGACTGCGGCAAGAAGTAAGCAGAAGCTAGAATGGGATGACCAGGACGAAAAAGCTTGTATGGAAAGGTTAAGTACAAGAATAAGAAGAATTGAGTTTTTTTCCACAAACTCTGATTGTCATATAACAACCCAATGTCGTATTTCAAATTTTGGATTTGTTTTTGATCAAATAATCAAAGTTTAAAATATAAAAGGTTTACAACTTTCCTGTTGCAATTATACAGAGATTAGAAAATTTGAGCTTGTGACAAAGACGCAATTCCTTTAGACTGAATTGATTTAAAATGTGTATTCTTTTTTTCAGATACAGAAAGAAGTACTGAGAATTCCGATAAAGTATTATATTAATTTGTTCAATAGAATACATCGAAATACAAATATAAAAGAAATTAATCTTAAAAAGAGAAAGAATTATTTAGAGATTAAACTTGTTTTAAAATATTTGGAAAAAAGAGTCAACCTACATTTAATACATAGAAGTTAGAACGTTCAATGACCTTTTTCACTTGTTCTAATGAGAGGCTCTATGATATAAGACGACATTTTGAAAGGACTTCTAAATCTCCGGGAATTTTTTTTACTTCAAGGATATAAAAAATTAACACAAAGAATATTGATAACTATACACATAATATAATTTTGCAGTTACACAAAAAAAGCATTGATTTGCTTAACTTATAAAGTGAGACCAATTTTAAACTGTGGAATAGTAAGACGACATTTAAACAAACCTATGTGTGATTTATGTTGTTATAAAGCAAATACAGGGTGTCCCACAAAATATGACAATAGCGAAACGACATAGATGGTCGTCTTAGATCAATGAAACTATTTGCGGCATTTGTTCATCAAGCTACATTTACATATATGATTCTAATAATCCCAATTCACATTACCCTATAGTCCTGGCATTTCCCAAATGTTATTTACCTTTTTTTTGTGCTGTCAATATTACCGGAAATGTCAAGATTATTATCCAGATTTTAGATTATTAAACGAAATCAAACTTGTCGAAATTATATAGTCTAAAAGATTTTAAAAATTGAAACATAAACGATAGTTATATAAAGGTATTTTGAATAAATTTTTACAAAATCGAAAATTCCTGCTTTTTATCTTATGATAGTATTTATAAAAGGCGTTGCACTAAATTGGTTTCTAATTTTCAAAATTTTCAAGATTAAGATAGCCCCCTACTGTACGCCCACTATGCAACAAGGTTCTAATAACATACAGTGAAACCCTTAATAACGGAGACATCGAAAGAGTTCATCAAATGTCGTATTCTTCACTTTCTGATAATGGAATGTTGCAGATATTTAGTTTTTTAATCAAATGATTAAATGGAACTCTTTAAAACTGTTCCCGTATATTCATGGCTATTTATTTATTTTCGCAAATACTGAAATTTACGTAATATAGTATAAAACTCATTGAAAAATTGTCAAGACGACATTTGATAAATTCTTCCGATGTATTCGTTATTAAGTGTTTCACTGTATATAAACACTTATTAGGTGAAATCTGTGTCTTCACACTGCACAATTGCTATATGTCAAGTTCATTGGGCTAATTAAGTCTAAATTTTCTTACTCTAGAGAAAGTTTATATTTCCAGACGAAGCTGGGTTCCAGGCTAGTATAAATAATATAACGTATTGTAAGTTCTAACTGTATAATGAACTGAGAATATTCTAAGGAAATAAAAGAATTAAGAATGAGAAGGTTGGAGAATGAAAAAATGGGGGGGGGAATCTACATATGTTTATCATGATTAGGAATATTACAAGGAAATAGAAGAACGAGGAGGATGGATAATGGAATTAGTTTAGGAATTAGGAAAAACAATTTGTGCATTATGTGAGAAAGAAAGACGAGAATTTGAAAAACACAAATATAAACAATTGTAATAAATAGTTTAACATAAAAATTTATAGGGTTTATTATTAATTTTAATAATGTAATATAATTGTAATAATGTTTAAAAGAAATGAAATTGTTTATAATGTTTAATGAAATAAAACAATTCTGCAGTACGTTAATAGACCCATTTCACTTCATATTTTCATATTTAAGCTGGTGGTAAAACTATTTGCTTTTTAACAACATTGAATACAAATTATAGAATACACATGATTGCTTAAATATTGTCTTCCTATTATACAGGAATATTAGGAATCCTAATCCACAATTTTTTGAGTCCCACTGTGTAATAATGTAACATAGGGATGATTTGTGTCAAGATAAGTCTAATCAAGTATGGACAAGGAAAATGAGTGTTTTATATTCAGGCAGTCTGCTTTAAGAAAGCCTGAATATGTCCATGCCTACATAGAAAATGCCTAAACATGTCCAGGTCTATATAAAAAGAAATTCTGAACATGTCCATGCCTATATAAAAAGAAACCCTGAACATGTCCATGCCTATATAAAAGGAAAGTCTGAACATATCCAGGTCTAAATGAAAGAAAGGGTGAACATATGTCCAGGTCTATATAAAAAGAAAGTCTGAACATGTCCAGGTCTATATAAAAAGAAACCCTGACCATGTCCAGGTCTATATAAAAAGAAAGTCTGAACATGTCTTGGTCTATATAAAAGAACAGGTGAACTTATGTCCAGGTCTATATAAAAAAAAATTCTGAACATGTCCATAGGTCTATATAAAAATTGTAAATTTGATTTTGTGGCAAAGACTTGATTCCTTTGCTTTTATAATACTTGTGCTTAAAATCAAGACTATAGAGAAGCTGCGAGATCATTGCAACAATGAAAATGTCGGAGACCTTAATGGTTAAGGCTAATGATTTTTTAATACTGTTAAAACGTTAAAAAGTTAACAGTTAAAATTGAATTGTATTGTTTTTTTTTAGATATTAATTATACTTTTTTAGAGTATAGTTAAAATTTAAAATTTAAAGTTAAAATTGAAATTTCTTCTTATTTAGAGTAACATTCAAATTCGTAGCAAAAGCTATTAAATTAATCATTTTTTATTTCAGTAGTTAGCCTTTTATTTGTTAAAAAAAGATAAATCATTTTGAATTATTGGAATAGTCAAATTTTTATTTATAAAAAAGAACATATTTTTTCTTTTTCCTTGGAAACATAATGACTCAAAAAAGAGAGTATTTTCCTTGAAATGAAATAAAAGTCCAATTAGTTAAACTTTATGAAGAAACAAAAATCTTAACGAATGTAAATATTTTTAATACAATGAAATCCATATGTAACTTACCAATATAATTTTTAAAAATGATAGTTCAATATTATTCAATCGAAAATGAGGATGTTTTGTGATGTAATTTTTGAACAACATTTTTTCTGAATCTGATAAAAGGTGAAGATATAGAGGAAGATTCTCCCAACTAGAGGGGATAGAAATTTCCAGAATTTCATTTCACTAGGCGAAGTGATACACAAAATCTTGGTTAATAATATGTCAACTTCTTTTAAACCAGAGCAGTGCACACTTGCGATTGCCCTGCTAAATAAATAACTAATAAGTTACTAACCCGAAATTCATAATGGACATCAACCCTAATGAAATGAAAAAGGAAAAAGTTTTTAATTAAGTTTCCTTTAAAAGGGGAAATTGAAACGAGAAATTCACAGATTAGCAAAGCCTTATAAACTTTCTTTTAAAGCACTAGAAATTCTTAAAGATATCCTTAACTTTCTGATATTTTTTGGACTAGCTGAGATGGTGGATTCAAATTCTAAGTTTACAAAGAGAAATATCTACATCTAGCGAAGAAAAATTGAACTCTGTGGCATTGAGAGAGAAAGGAAAAGTGAATCAGAGTTCTGCGCATGCGTCTGTAATCCTGATTTTGACCTGGCTTAGAATCTGTTAGCAACAGTCAACACTCACAGGCAATTGAGATGTGTTAAACATACACGCAATATTCTATACAATAATGTCACCCCTCCCCTCCGTCAAATAATACTCAAATATATTTTAATTTAAAATGATTTTTACAATAATATGACGTTGTCATATAATTGTTTTGTTATACTCTTTGGTATCAAACAGTTTTACAAATTATGGAAGAAGACATTTTAAACTATTCACCAACTGTCATGTTTTGAGGGACACCCTATATCTGCTGGGAATGAAAGAAGGGGGGGGGGAGTGTGATACTTTCAGTCAGTCGGCCACACAGACCCTCTTAATGTTATAAGTTTTCACCGCTAGATGTAGCAGCAATCTTTCTTTCAAACATAATTTCCCTCTAATGTTGGTTAAATTAACTTTCTGCACTAAATATTTTACCCAGTGTTAATTTCATATTGTTATAATATTTATCAAATTAAAGGTTTTTAACATAATTTTTGCTTTTAACCACTTCAGTTCTTTAAAATATTCTATATCATCAAGGTGTCACTGATTGTAAAAACGGATCTAATAGTACGTTTGCCTTTAGCATTGTGGTACTTTTTGAAAGGATTAATAATAAAAATATTTTATCCTATTCATTTAACTAAATCCAGGTGATACTATTATTAGTAAAATTATTTACTACTATTTTCGTCGACTATGTAATGAAGGATATTAAACATCTCTCATACAATTCTTGAAATTTGTGAAAAAAGGACTTGTTATCCCTATATCCCTGGTTGGGCTATTTTGATCTAACATATGTTCACATATGTTTTCATGCCTCCTTCCTCTTCCCTTATTCATATTTTTAGCATTAATACTTAAAAAAAGCATTTTTAGACCACTGCACACAAAGCATTAATACGTAAATGATTAATATGTAGGAATTTAGTCCCTGCAGCATACAATACTGGGGGTGCATTTATATTTGAGGGAGGTGGGTGGTTGCATTCAAGGTTGTCCAAATAAACACAGATCTCATGCATACTAAATCAAACAAAGTTTTGAGTAATAATTGTGAATTTAACATTTCAGTCAACAAATGCAAATTTGCATGATCTTCAATTTTAAAAAATGACGCGAGCGTAGAGGTGTTTTCTTTTTTCATTGCACTATACAATACATACAAAATTTGAATAATATTCCGGACAATTTTATGTCGTCAGGTTTTAAATGCAAGAACAGAAAGTTGTAAAAACTAATAAAAAAAGTTTTTTTTTTAAATCATGAAATTATCGTATTACATATCAATTTTCTTCGTTATTTATAAATTCCTTAGATATAATAAGACACCCTTTATAATAGTGTAGTATAAATTCTGCACAGTCGTCTCTGCAGTCTCATCCTTTGTGGGTAACCCTGTCTGTTATGGGAAACATATTCCTTGCATGCCAAACATTAAATTTCTTACTTAGAAGATTAGAAATTATGATCATAAATAATTTTGAAAAAATAAGTTTATAGTATTATTTTATAAAATGTTTCTTTACTACAATGATAACCAAAA